GGGATTGGAAATAATAATGACTGTTAAGAATTTAATATATAAAAACAATACTATTAGCGAACAAAATTATCAAAAAAACAAAAAGGATATCTCCTAATTTTCGTGAAATATTTCGATTCAACAAAAATCTTTTTTTTGTTGCATTAATTATGATCGTCACTGTATATATATATATGTATGTATGTATGTATGTATGTATGTATGTATAAGTATAATCTCATTTTAAATGAAATCTAATTTGTATCCTGCTCGTCTATAAATTTACTTAACATTAAATTAGCAAACTCAGTTTTCTCCTCTCACATAATTCACATCCTCTCTTTCCTTGTAAAAGAATAATTTCTATTGGCAACTCTGAGACTTTATATTCGTTTTTAACATTCGATAAGATGAACCAACTACCGCAACGACGACCACTGCAACCGCAACTACATGTAAACATGGTGCAAGACATTGTTACTGGATCTACTTTCAATGACCATACAATCATTACTCCAAATACTTGGTATATAAATTCTCTATTAATTTCTTTATATCATAATACATGTGGCATTGCTATATTCACACCGATATGAACACCAATTAAATACACCCACTTGTTATTTAATAAACCAGTTATTTAACTAAATAATTATAAATCTATTTATATCGATATGTATACAGTATGTTGTAAGTGGGAATGGGACATAACGATATGTGGATATAGAATCGGCCCAAATTAAGATAAGGATACGACTAGAGTTAGAGTAAGGGTTAATGCTAGTGATAAGATTGGTGTTGGCCGAAAGGTTCTATATCCACACCGAGAACATCTTTTTGCATTAGTGTTAATTGGCTTTAAATCACCATAATATGATCGAACGCATACATTGTAGCAAACAATTCTAAAGAATATAGTTTAATGATAATAATCAATAAATTTGCAGTCCAGCAAAATTTTTATAAGCCAAGTTGATCCAGTGCTGCATGTATGGTATTTGTAACGAGCAGTTTCACTGCTACGTTGGTCTTTTAATCCTGAAGTTTTTTACGTTCAATATATGAAATATTTATAAAGTTATCACTTAAACAAGTATATAAACTGACATATAACATTAGACAAAACAATTATTTTGGATAGAAGATTGTACTAACAAGACGCATATAGTTGACATCAAAGATACCTTTTGAGAAATCTAAGTTATAAACATTTATTATTCATACAATAATACTGATGCCACTTGTTGAATGTTACTGTATATCAATATTATCCTAAGAAAAATTATCGCTTTCCTTGCAAGAGGAAAATCATTTTTACCGAATTAAAAAACAATGAAGGGGTGCTCATTTAGAGTACAGTATAAAGAAAATACTGAAAACAAATGGCGGTTAGCTCACTACGTATTTTTGTTTATTTTAGGAATGTATTACATGTATCTTACAAATCAGCTGATTGTGTTGTAAAACTACAGTCAAAACTGGATACATGTATAACGAAGGTGGCCGGATAATTTTTGGAATCTCCGTTATACATGTATATACTAACTTTTTATAGCGAACTATTAAGTTATTGCAAAATTCAAACTTCGTTTTAATTACGCTTCGTTATAACCGGGGTTCGTTATAACCAGTTTTGACTGTACGTATGATTCCAATTACAAAAAAATTGAAAGTAGATAAATCATGCTCTTGCAGTTCAAATAACAATCCTCTGATTCTAAATATTCTAAAGATTGTATAACTGACTTTAAAACATACTTGCTTACTGTATATGAATATGATCGTTACTAACAAGCTAATAGTAAGCACTTGTAAATTTCAAGTTACATTGCAAAATTTATTGTAAAAATGATTACTAAAAACATTTTTAACTATTAAAACTCTTATAAAACACAAAAGTTAATTATTGAAATAAAGTATACTCAAGCTTTTTTATATTATCCCTTAAACCATCAGGTTTAGCAGGCAAATTTGCTTGTTAAAATTCCATAAATTTATATCTTTGCCAAAAATTAAAATTTTTTTTATAATATTAGCTTTAATTATATACTATTTTCATTTTTTTAATAACTATGGAAAAATTGAGTTGTCTATAAGCTAAAAATAAGCAATTTTAAAAAATTCTTATTATTAGTCTTAAATTTTAAAAATTAGGAGTAAATGTACAAAAAAAAATTTAGCAGGCAAATTTGTCTGCTGATGCTTTATGAGATACTCTGATATTTGAAGAATTGTTCAACATCATATTATATTCATTATCTGATATTATTGTATTTTACAATCTTAAATGTAGTTTTTTTTAAGTAAATACAGTCAGACCTCGATTAGTGACTATACGATTTAACAATCACTAATTAATATCTTTAAAGACATCACTCTTAAATCCTTTTCCATAAGAGAACAGATAAAAATCAGACTCAATTTAACGAATTTCTTGAAGTAGCGATTTTTACTATACTGTAGTACATTATAGTATTTAATCTATAATGTAATAGTTGAAGCTCATCGTGAGCCAGCTTGCAAGCCAAATTTCTATTTGTCACCTCCGTGGTGATTTATTTATTAATAAATTTCATATAAAAAAGCTCGCAAGCCAAAATATCTATTTGTCACCCCCGCGAGGAGCTTTAGTAATATTTTTAATTATATAATCAATGAAACTATTAGAATGTAACAATCAATATAGATGAAGATGAACCGATAAAAATTACAATTACAAAAGCTATAGAATAAAAAACTTCTTTATGCAATTCAACAAAAAATATTTTAATATAAATATATGATTCTAGGATAAGTTTTCTGTATTAAAAAATAAAACGAAATCACTTTACCACATGTATGCTACATATTGGCAAAAATCAAAAACTCGCTACATATTGAATAAATGTCATACAATACAAATACTGTACGTATACCAAATAACCATAAATGGCGATGATTATCACTACAGTTCATGCACATGTACATGTACATGTGCATGTAAATACCAATACCCGATAGGTGGGCATGAAAAAACTTTCTGTGGCTTAAATTGGACCGAAACTTAAAATATAACAATTATAAATGATATTCTAAAACGTTGTAATTAACCAATCGATTGGTACATGTGCATGTATTATTAAACAGAAAAATACATACGAATCAAATGGCAGTATTTCATCAAACTGTTTATCAAAATCAATACAAAACAAACTCGATGAAATAAAGACTTCCACAATCATACCATGATTTTGACTAATAACTCAAGAAATATATTGAAAAACTTCTATACAATCATGCTATTGAAAATAATTCAACTGTGTGTTCATATGGAAAGTTGACTGTCTTTAGCGTTAGAATGAAAGTTAATGATTCTTTAGATAAAAATTTCAAAATGGACGCATACAATTGATTCATTAATTGTTTCCTTTTTCTAAAACACGAGCTTGACGCATTTACAAATTGCCATTTGAAACTAACAAATTAGCGATTAATCAAAGGATAAATAATATGTCCGTAACTTTTTTAGTCAAAGGAATCAGATGATACATGTACTTAGATTCATATAAAAATTAGAAATTGTTGGAAGAGAATATTTGTTCGTTTTATTGATCCATAAAAATTGACAAGTAAACATGAAAGAAGAGATATGCTCCTTAAGTTAGGTATTAAATATGCACTTATCGTTATAACGAATCTTTAAAACTGGTATGTTATTAATCTTATTATCACTAATTGCATACTTGCTTTTCTGTTGTCGTTACCATAAAACGGGGGATGCAGATAAATATTCACGCATAACGATAACGATCATTTGTGCTTAACGTTAACGTTAAGCAATTCACTTCTTGTAGTACGACATTTAATATCGATATTTTATTTATGGTAGAGTAAACAAATAATGGTTAGAAAGAGCAAACAAAATACGTACATGTAGTAATACAAAAACTCTAAGAGGAATATTATTTATTAATACGACCAGCTTAATTACATGGGTGAAATGAAAGTATTCGAATATTTTAAAAAGTTAAATCTTATTTACATTACTGACTTGTTTATACCAAACGAGATAAGATAAAAAAAAAAAGTTTTTTTAATAGTAACACGGAGATTTTTCGGCAAAGAAACATTGATTTGATGATTGAAATGCCAGATTTGAAATATTAAGACGTCCTTCCAGCGGATCTAATTCGTAGTCAGTATCTGGAGAGTGGTAAGGAACAGCTTGCTTTTCAAAGGAAGAAAACTCGTTTGCAAAATAAAAGTTTTCCAGTGCTGTAGAACACGGATGATTATAAAAATAGGCAGATGATTCAACACTCATTTCTGTGAGTAAAAATTCATTATAGGTCGATTCCGCTATGAACTCGGTTTGCTTTTCACAGGTGATGTTTTCTTCGTGATCATCTATAGAAGATGATTGTGCTGCTGACATATGCGATTCTAACGATCGAACTTCGGGATCAGGAGTCATAGGCGGAGTCGTTTCAGGAGAATCGTTTTTTTTGAACACCGGGTTACTATTCATTGGCTGGTTCAGGATTTTGATTTTTCCATCTGACTCAACAATGTTTGATGGTTTTTGTTCTTTTTGTTCTCCCGGAACAATTGGAATAATAGTTTTCAAAGATTGTTGATCTTTGGAAGCGAGATTTTCAGAATCAATGTTCTTTGTATTTACAACCTCTTTAGCGTTAACGTTAAATTCAGTTATCATTGAATTAATTGATAGACAGGCAGATTCTTTTGGTTTATGATAAATATGCTTTTTGTTGTCATTGTTTAATTTAATGTCCAGCCTTGATTGAGTTAAGCTATTTGATTTGATACGAGGACGAACTACAACTCCTGCGGGTCGAGAAGAAGCTTTAATGTGACAATCGGTAGTCAAGTAAGAATCCCATAGACCATAATGGCGTTCGTTCAACAATTGTCCTGCTTCGTTAGCGATTTGACTGTATGCATCTTTAACCCAAGCCGGTTCGGATTTCCATCTTTTGGAAATAGCTAATGAAACTGCTCTCATAGGGAGAAATATTCCTTTGGAATTCAATGCTTTAACAAATGCCTTGCGATAAATTAAAAAATTATTTGGTGCTTTTGTTGGTGCTCTACCATCTTGTTTTGGAGCAATTATTTCAGCTGCTGTAATTTCAGGCGGGAATGGCGGACTCATGGCTTCTAAAGCGACACTTAACGAAATTGATAGTTCAATATTATTTTTCGCATTCTTAATATTTTTCTTCATTTCGACATTAGTAGCTTGACTGCGATTCTCACACATATTGAAGTAAGGGAAAAATTAATTTGTGAAAAGGTTTTGGTCTTTTCGTACTGTTGAAGACCGTTTTGAAAGGAACAGGAGTAAAAAATCAAGATTTCCGACGAAAGAGATTTTGTTACCTTTTTAGTATTTCAAATACAAAAGACTACTCTTTATTTTGTTAATAATATACACGTTCTAATCAATAGCAAGTGTAACTCAAAAAGGTTAACAAAACTTGAGAAAACGAGAAACTGTGTGAGTAAATATTTATATCAATTACAGTTGTGTATTGGTTTATACATGTATTCATGATTTTTACTTTAACGTTAATAAATATATTTTTAATCCCGAGAAAGTCTTGCATCTCTAAAAGTACAATTTTTGCTTGCATATTTGTTTTTTTCGCTAACCATCGGGGTCTTTCTAACATGCGCTATAACGAAAATATATCGATATATGAATTTTTTATTATTTATTACATAACAATTATATAAACAATGAAAATATGTGTGTGTGTGTGTGTGTGTGTCACTTACCAGATTTGATTCCTAAATTACATTTTGAGTAATACCCGTCGGTTAATCAAACGATGATTTGGTAGGTAATAATAATAACGATAAACAAAAGTTTAAATTACATGTCTATATTTTTCAATCCACAAACACCAAAATAAGAGATAACACCTGATGATGTGAAAATGTGTAATTAATGCCAAGATTTCGTACTTATTTTACTTAACAAGATAATGAGAAGGAAAAAAACAAATATAAAATAAAACAAAAAAGGTTATTAATTTAATTCACATAAAGAAAATTCTAACACATTGCAAAATGGATAAAAAAGGAATCCATGAAAGAAGACTTACATACCTGATGTTCAGTATGCCTCATGCTTCATTGACACACAATTTTTGGATCAGAAAACATTTTGAATGGATGCATGCAAAGCAAAGTTGTCTATTTTACCGCATTTTTTCAGAGACACTAATATAAAAGTCTCAAAATCGATGAGTTTATCCATGCGCGATGGGTCAATCACATTTTGTTTTACTTACCGCCTTGTTGAACGAGAATCGGCGATCGTCCTCTTATTGAAAAAGAAATATATAGTACCGATACATGTACATTGAATCGACTTTATATTTAAAACAAACAAACAAACAAACAAATTAAATGCATAAAGTGGTATTATTCTTTAACACTCTAGTGAAATCGATTGTTGTGTAGGCGGGGGGGGGGGGGGGCTTTTAAGCTTTTTTATGTGCACATATGCAGCAAATGAATTGTCAATCATTCATTACCTTGCATTTTCAGCCAAAATATCTTAAATTTCAATAGTGAGAATAACAAAAACCGACGTCTATGATATATTACACTCCAAATTTTTATTAACTTTCTGCAGGTGAGGTCTGCAAGTAAATAAAGATTGACATGTCGCATCCAGTATATTAAATTGAGTCATAACGATAATTTTTAACCTATATTATTTGCTTGATTGTTTATCTAGTGATAGATATATCTAGTTTTAGATGCTGGGTATCAATGAAACATAGTTCAAGTGTGCCCCCCCCAATTGTCTTACATACACACGATCTGATATGCAAATCAGCGTTCAAAGAAAGTCAAGCGGTAAAAGAAAAATTTGCAAATTTATGAATGCACATGTCAGGAATATTCGATATTCCTAATCTTTTACTCGATCTGAACTAGATAACTTTGATGTATCGATTTCTTGCGACAAATACAAATAATTAAAAATTTATATGCAAGTAATTGAAGTTCACACGCCGAAAGAAGATTCCAAATCATCTCGTGAAACTTTTTCTCTTTGAAAGAACGAATAAATGGGGTTTCGATCGATCTTTAGAGATCATGCATTTCTTTGTGCAAAATGGATAATCAAAACCTTTCTGAATTTTATTTGGACTTATCAAGATTTGATTGGTTACTTTTTTACGTTACTTATCTCTCCTGAATAGTTATATTTAGAAAAATGACCTGTAAATTCCATTTGTTCTCAATTAAGACTATATTTAGTAAGGCTATGGCTAATCTTCATTTAGAGCCTTCAGCCTTTGTATTAGGTAAAGGATCGGTGCATTTCTGTTTCAGATTTTGTATAAAGTTGTGCACTTAAAAATTACTGCTGGGAAATTCCGATACTTGGTCAATGTCAAAGATATAGATGATAAAACAAACAAACAGGATTGTGTTGTGTCGTGTTGTGTCGTGTATATCATACAAGTTTCATATGATAGCTTGGTGTACAATATGCAGAAATTGTCCTCAAAGAAGTAACCGGAACAATGACATACTCTCCCCTTCCGTCTATTTTTAAATAAAAATAGAAATTTGTGGTTTTATTTTTTAAGATAAGCTGATTTTTATTGGTTCTATTATAACTATTTTAATTGGCAAGAGTAGTTAATATTTACGCAAAAATTACTGATTCGACAAACTTAACATTTTAAATATAATATTTTAAATAATTTGTAATTTTTTTCATGGATCGGTTGAGAAAGAAGCTAATCCGAAATTTACTGATCATCATAGCCTGTGCGTCACGTGATTTGATCGACTCTGCCTATACTACATAATTATTTAAATAACATTCAAAGCTATTATTGTGGAGCAAAATTTACGAGTTTTACTTTAACATGTAGTAAAGATTAGTTTATTGAGAAAGAAACGCGTACACGCTTAATATTTGTTGAATGATCAATTCAAAATATTATTGCTATATTTAGAAAGAAAGAAAGAAACAATTGTGGAATACAAATCACGTAATGGAGTAAATCTCCGCTTTGTAAGCGAGTGTTTTCGGGGAGATGTCCTCATCACTAAAGTATAATATTATTTCCTAATTTCCTAAAAATTCGAACAATGAGGTCACATTCAATTTCACAGTCAATTTCTTCGGAATATCCTCCTTACAGATTCATAAACCTTAGACTGTATATCATTTTCGCATGGTAAGAAAATGTGCAATACGTATCTGATACGTGTACGGTTATTTGCCTATCTAACATTACTTTCACCATCAGAAAACGTGGATTGTTAATTTAAAAGCGAGAAATTTCCTATTTATAGAAATTTGTAATAATTGTAATCTGTGGCGTTTCATTTCGGGCATGATCATTAACAAATTAGGATTTGATATAAAGCAGTGTGACGTTCAACTAGAAATAGATCGGCATCAATAACATATTAAACGTTCAGAAATGCTAGCACTATACGTATACAGGAAAAAAGACAAATCTGGAACACATAACTACACTTGTTTTCGACACAGAAAAGTAAGAAATAATCGAATTCGTCCTATTTTCGTATCGAATACCAGGGTTAAGTTTACGGAATTTGTCACTTAAACATAGTCGTGCTACCACTAACATTTCGCAGGTCAATTTGGGTGATGTTTCTGCATGATGTTATCGTTATAGGATGATGACCATTTAATTTTCACATGATCTTATTATTATTGGCAAAATTAAACTTAATTTCTGGCATTAAAGTTATAGAAACATAATTTAGTTGTAGCAAAACCTAAATATAATATATTTTTAATAACAGATTTCTTTAGACAAACCAAATTTAGTTTCAAACTTTAAAAATCTTCCGAGATTTGGGTTTTTTGAGTTTCAGCTCATGACCAGCATCATTGTTTAAAATGAAATCGACAATAAAATGTATCAACGCGGACAAATTATATGACAAAGTATACCGAAATCAGGATAATTTATAGGAAATTACTGGATAATTGATACATAAATGCGTTATTCATTTTTTTTTCTTAAGTTCTGTGTTTTTTTCGTATAATTAAAAGTTTTTTGCAGTGTTGACAATGAATCATTATGACCTATATAAGTTATGATTATTAAATAGAATATGACTTAGTAAATTGCCAACATGTCTTGATGCTTACCGTATAAATATTTGAGTATCATTCAACCTTTCCCCGAAAAACGCTTGTGTACCCCGGAGGAGAGTATTTTGAATGATTATGTTATAGGAAATATAACCATGAATAAATTGAATATAAATTAATAGTGAATGCATCTTATAATCTTGATTTCGTAAAATTTCCGATGTCGCAATACCTTATTTCGGAACGGGTCTAATTTTTGGTGGATATTTGGGGGTGTTTTTATATGGTGGTGATTCTTGATCTAACGAAGGTTCCGAGTCTATTAGTAAAACTTTTTCGAAAATTCACTATATCGCGAATTTATTGATAAATTCACTATCTCAAGAGGATTTATTATTGAATGTTTTGAACTCAATTCATTATAATCATAATTAGACATCAAGAGTCCGTTAAATCGAGATTGACTATGTGTGAAAAATATATTAGAATTTTTGATCTTAATATAATCCATACATTCAAAACCCGATTTAGCGATAACCAAGTAAAATCCTGATTTAATGACAATGGGTTTGCCCAAAACATATGATATCGTTGATTGCAATACTATTTAATATGAATGGGAAACAAAAAATTGCGATATACCGAAATATCGTTAAATTGAACATGAATGTTAATACAATCGGACTTTATATGATTTAATGATCACTAATTACTACCTTACCATAACGATATCACACTTAAATTCCTTTCCATATAAAATCAGGAATAACGACATTTTTTAAATTTTTTATTATATGTCCCGACCCATCGTTAAATCGATGCCTGATCCGACTATATATAGATATATCAAATTATCGTTGTCTGCATATTTTTGTGACCCTTCCATCGGATGAAATAATCTCGCGATTATTTTACATGTCTTTTTCTTTTGCTGATTATTTTTGTTTTTTGTTAATTAACGGAAGCTCAGAGTAACTACTCTATCATTACATATGGGTGGAATCAGAGAAAAGGGACAAATTACTCTAATCCACCGACTCCACCCCGTATTTGTCCAAATTTGGGTTTATTATCTCTCTATTTAGGAATAGGAATCGATTCTAAGAATTGATTTCCTTGACTTTACAAAATCAATCAGTTTTAGAATCGATTCCTATCCCTAATATAGAAATAATATGTAATATGCAATAGAGTATTTACTTAATTAAAAAAAAGCTAAAAGAAAATTTAGAAAAAATGAAACTACTTTTATCAAATAGAGGGGGTCACAAAAATATGCAAACAGCGGAGAATACGTCTTAGACATTAACATATTGACACAATTACTATTTATTTGTAATATGTGTAATATCATTTTCAGGCAAACATTGCGCTATGGTGCATTAAATCTATGATAGAATAGGGATTTACTTCCTATTTAAGAAGTTCATTGAGTTATGCACCATATCGCTGTCAAATATATATGCAGATTCAGCGTTAATGATCCCCTTTGTAGCACTATAAACGACTTCGTGAAACAAATCGACTATTGTGTCTTATCTGAATTGAGAATAAAGTTGGAATTCAGACAAGTTTCAAAAAAAACTAAGGTAGATCTTTAAACAAAAAAATGTAAATTCGTTTTCTAACGCTAAAGCGAATAAATAAATAAAGAGTTCGTATTCACGATGATAAACTTTGATACACTGTCCTGCAGCTTTCAGATCAATAGATAACACATCCTTTGAATGAGACACAAGGACAAATTATATCTTAAAGCTTTAACCAGGCAGACGAGATCGATAGCAATACATGTAATTCCATGACAGATTATCGAATTTTCGATTGATATAGTAAAAATGTTCAATAGAATTAAAGTTTCTTTGTCTACATTGATAATCTGCCCTGGACAATACGTACACTTTATTATGGCGTGCTTCAATCAATGTGCATTGAATCGTTGAGATATTACCGGATTGGTTATAAACTCGCTTAGATAATACTTAAGTGGCATAGTATATAAACAAATACAAATATATACAAGTATATTTACTGCACTGCAAAGACTTATAAAATAAACATATAAGATACTTTAAACCTTATTCTCTGACTACATACCAAAAATGCTTTGTTTATTAAATTGTCTATTTGACAGGTAATTTCTGACACGTTGTGCTGCATTGATACTTATTAATGATGCAAGCGCGCGCGTCTATTCGTTTAATTCAAAGAGATAGAACACGAGGAATTAATGATGTACGAACATCAATAAATCCGTGAAATGCCGATCAAAAATGTTATGCCATCATGTACATGAATCAATTTTTTAAGTGTATGATCAATGTCAGCTTATACTTTATGAAACTACGTCCTGTACATGGATTCATTCAAACAATTTTAGGCAAAAAATCAGTGACCACTCTCGTATTGATACAAACCCGTGACCACTCTCATGTCGATACAATGGTATTTTAACGAAAAATACTTTAACTAATAATTTTTGAATTTAATAATTAGTCTTGCGCACGTAGAATTAACTCGTCTATGATTTGAAATCACATGTATTCTAAACTAATCTGATGAGATAGATGTCCCGGCAATGCACTTTATATCAAGTACGTATATAATTAAAAGAATGACATAACATCGGCCAATTCAAAGGCAACAGATTTAGGCTGATTATTAACGCCCGACAGTATACTGCTGTAACACGTACATACAAATGGCCAGTACAACAACAGCAAGCTGTACGCCTTCATGCGCGTGCATTTTATGCTTGATATACTTGTTGTAGACATGCGGTGCATATATGCGTGCATGAATAAAAAGTACGGATATATATACGTATTAATGGTGCAAAAAGGCTAAAGTACATGTGCATGCATTTTGTGATCAAGCTAAAAGATCGATGTGCAACGTATATTTCGGAATATTTTTCCAATCATCTAAAACTTTTTTTTTGACTTTTATATAAACGACAACAACGTAACATGGCTTTCAAAATTTTAATTTTTCTCATGCGTATTTGAGTCGATTCGCAGCTGTTTCTAGCAGGTTATAATGAAGCATGGATAAAGTAATAAAGTAGTTTGATTGGAATGAAACATAAAATTAATTGGGGTTTTCGACTACATTATTGTAAAAAAATGAAAAGAATTTTCAAGGAGCAAACTTATTCTTTTTTATTTGGAAAAATATTAATGCAACTTTTTAGAAGTACAATCGTACCTCTATACACACCCTCGGGAAAGTTTTGATCCCAGTCACAACCTCTTTAATTTCTGAGGGTGCATACTTTTTTTTCAGCACTTATTAGTAAAATAAATGTCTTGGATGTTTTGAAGTTGCTCTACATAACAAAACTTGTCTTTTATCAATGCAAGATATCGACAACAACTTTGTTGGCGAAAAAAAGACATCAAGCAATCAAACAATCATTAGATACGATAGCTAATCCTAGTACGTACATGTATATAAAGTATAACATAATTAAAACGGTAATCATTATACTGTACGCATACCAAAAAAAGTAAGGTATACAGTCACAACAGTCGAGCAGCAACGAACAAATATATAAGTTTCATAAGTCCGACGACGTTGTAAGACTCCTGAGAACCCCCACGATAAGATTTTTCTTAACTCATAATTATGATAGAAAATAATTTATTCGAATTTGAAGTAGAAACCCCATCAGGTGATCTTTTAGATAAACTTATTACCGAATATGTAAGCAAAAAAGAATGTCGCACTCCGCCAAATAGTTTCTTTATATACCGACAATTATTAGTTAAAAAATTACATTCTTCTGGTCTTAATCTACAAGCCGTGGAGATCTCTCGATTAGCTTCGAAAAATTGGAAAACGAAATCACCTAATGCCAAAGTCGTCTTCCAGGATGCAGCTCAGACTATTGCTAAATCTATGACCAGAAAAGAAACAAGACCTGCGAAAAAGCGGAGAATTCTTTGGCCAGCTGTAATGACAAGCGAGACCATGCGTAATAAAGTCATTCGCAAAAAGACCAAAGCTAGAAAATCAGAATATCTCAATTCTAAAAATAAAGATTTCGCTTCGCATGAATGGCTGAATAAAGATGACGATATTAAGCAAAATTCCATTTCGGAGCTCAAATACTCCATTGATGAGATCGCATCTGATCCTGAAGAGAATCTATATTTTAATGATCCAATGAATGACGACAATTTAGATGGCGGGCCACCCTCCCCTAGTGATCGTTTTCTGATTAGACCCAAGCATTCTGAGTAAATTCGTATAAATATATTTATATGCAACTTGTATTTATATTACTATTATATTGCGATAATCATATATTCCTATGCGTGAAAATAAGTTTATAAATTACACTCCCTTATTAATTATAGTTCTTTATGTTTTTCAATTAAGCAATTTCCTGAAGAGGAAATGTTAAAAGATCTTTTCATGAAAGCCAAATCAGACGTTAAATGCTATATAGATTTTTTTTACAAGCTATTTATTTTATATTCTTCCACAAAAATGAGTTCATAATAAGATATCAACAAACACAAGTTACTGACTGAATAAAACTAATAAAACCAGTATATTAAGAATTCATGCAATCGATTAATTTCTGGGTCTTGAATTCTGAAAGCGAGTTCGCAACTAAAGTACAATTTATGAGCCAACTTTTGTCTGCCACTGACTTTTGTAAGATTTGATATTGATGAAAAAATTGACAATAACAATCAAGGTACGTAATATTAATAATTTGTGTTTTGTGCGTATGATACAAGAATAACATATATACCGAACACAGCATCTTGTTTGTCAAAACTGTCTTTTTGGCATAAGCAAGCTTCGCCACCGCAAAAATTACTTGACAATCAATAGTTACGTAAGAGAATACAGACATTTACCCTTTCTTCGAAAAAATATTTTTTTTCTCTTTTGAATTAAAGAAATCCGCTAAGAAGTAAGATTACTGCATAATGAACAATTGCGATTGAATAATTGAAATCCGCCCCTAATCAATTAAGGTCAACAAGCGATGCACGATTGCGAATTTAATTTAATAAATCTATCATGCAATATATCATTAAAATATTTTCAGGGGTCATTTAAAATGGTGATTTTCTCTAACTTTCTATAACTACACTATCCGAAATCACGTGCGTATTACCCAAAAAGTCAAAGTGCAACCGGTCTATGCTACATGTAACTTGTAAATCATTAACGTTAAATAATGTTTTCATTTAAATTTCCATATATGTATATGAAGTTGCGAAAGAAACAATGAAAAGAACAATACGGATTTGCCAAAAATGTGTTATGCAGATAATCTTTATTATAGCACTACCAAAATTCGCCAGTGTGTTACTGAGCATACTTAGCATCTTTGTTGATTCGAGGATCTAACAAAGTAATAATCACCTCCTATATAATCACACCCTCTTTGCAATCACACTTTTTCTCAGTTCTGCTATTATGAAAAATAGGAAATTTGATCTCCAACCTCTTTAAACTCACTTTTTCTTGGTCCCAAGGGTGTATTTTTCAAAATCCTAAACGTTTCGCCCTGTAAGTCCGAAACTATCCGAAACCCTAATTTGGGGAATGTCTAAAGCCTGGTCTATCACGTGACTATATAAATATTGCTTAGGGTTAATGTCAGGCTAGAGTTGTGATCAAGCTTACATATAAAATTGCCTTCCCGACAGTTTTTATTAGTACACCAAGATAGATTTAAGCATTTGTTTTCCTTTATTTTTCATCTTTTTGTACGCGCTTCGGATTTGTTTTGCCGGGTTGATAAAAAATTTACGCATCCTTATTGGTTTGTGTTTCGGATTGATTATCGGATGGACCAGGCTTTAGACATTCCCCTAATTTGGAAGCTCTTTGTAGATCAAATTGGACGAAACTAGTTTCGCCCGAAACACTAACATGGCGTGACAACTGTATTGTGAAGTCATACGGAATTTCCTGGAACAGTTAAGGAATTCCAAGAACTGCTCAAAATATATACGAAATTATTGCGCATTTTCCTAATCAGTTCCTGAAATTGTGCTAATTCCGAAGCAGTTCTTACTAATCCCAAGTTATTCCATAATATTTATGATACAGCTCCCGCAACTTTTTTCAAAGGGAAGCATAGGAAATTTGACCTCAATATAGTCACAAGCTCTTTAAAATCGCACTTTTTTTGGTTCCAAGTGTGTGATTATATGGAGGGCGACTGTACAAACGTTTTCGCGATTAGTTTTCGAGTTTATTCGAATTATTATAAAGTCTACATAATAACCTTGATTTTAGAAATTTATAAATAAACTTATCATAAATTCAATAACTGCCGTCTTTTGCCGCATAAACCTTAATTGGTCTAATTTTCTTTTAGTTCTTAAATTAATAATTAAATTAAGGTTTGAATTTTCTACAAGAGTGTTTCTAAAGATAAACTATCAATGCTGTATTTATTTTGTAATCGTATTTAAATTCCCGAAATCGACTATTTAATTTATTAAAGAATTAAGAATAAATTATTAAAGAGTTAAGAATAAATTATTAAAAATATGCACCGGATATATGTTTCATAAATCTAGGTAATAATAGAAGATAAGATGGAAACTAGCTTATGTAATTCTACTTCCATATTACGGGATATTAATATCAAACCAATTCTCTTTTGGGATGTATACGACAAGCTCTTGTTTCTCCCGGAGCAAGGAATTAGTTGATGCATTAAGTGGTATCAATTGAAAATCATTATGAATAGAATTGTAGGGAATCGAGTCACAAGATACGAAGGGAATCGAGTCACAAGATGCGAAGGGAATCGAGTCACAAGACGTAAAGGGAATCGAGTCACAAGACACAAAGGGAACAGAGTCACAAGACACAAAGGGAACAGAGTCACAAGACACAAAGGGAATTGGGTCATAAGACGCGAAGAAATTTGAATCGGAAGATGCAGAATTTGAATTGTAAGGTGGAGGTTGCGAATCGAAAGATGCAGAATTCACATAAAAATCTGTGAATACATTTGAATTAAAAGGTGGGAGTAAATTGAAATCAAAAGGTTTATAAGAACTGAAATCAAAAGACTCGTTTGTATTTTGTGGAAACTCTTGGGAAGTGAGGCCATTATCAAAATAATTATTAATATCTTGACAAGTGCTTGAATTATTCGAAGAATTTAATCCTTTATTGGTTGTTTTTTTTTGATTTCTGGGTTTAATTGGATCGTACAGAGGGCGAAATTTGATTTTGTTGTGTGGTTGTGATTTTGGTAAAACTATCTTTATTTCGTTGGATTTTGTTTTGAATTGATTTTTATAAGATTCGGATTTCAGCTTCCATTTATTTGAAGCTAACTTAGAAACGTATTTCGCTTCAAAATTATATCCATTTTGTTGTAATTTACCACTTAATGCCGTGCGATAATGTATGAATCCATTTGCATTAATGTCTTTGACTAGATCACTATCGAATGGCAAGTTTACATCGATGTTTATTGGAGTAAGAGACGGATAGTGAAAATAATTTTTGTCACTACTCTCGGATGACATATTTAAAATGTACTATAAAATAATGAATTATCGTTGTTGCGCTTTGTGATTATATAGAGATGATTTTTATTATGACGACTCCATTTGGAATACTAACCAACATGGTTTGATTGGTTAATTAAAACGATTTCCGAGATTATACACAAAGAATCTTGAGATCCATTATCTTTCGTCTTTTGGAAATTTTTTTTATAGTTTATATCCTCCCAACATATCCTATTACATGTAACGTTAATAATGCTGTACATGCATAACAAGCTATTGTATCATCAGTTTCACCTAATCTAGTGATGATCATTACACGTCATATCCGGTGAAGACTGCGGAAACATGTATGTTGAGGTTTTCAAAAATAATATCATCTTATACCCCATAAAAATCTTTTTAGATATCTATCACTGATTTATGCACAAATACAGAATGCTAGAGATTTTGAGCGAAGCTAAAACCATTTTCAACTAAACAATTATTTACAGTCCCCCCTCCCAAAAGTATTTGCACGCTAAACAATAAAGAAGATTTAAACCGTTTATTAAATATTTAATACTTTGTTTGCCATCACTGGCATTCTTCTTGACTAAATTTTTAAACACTAATATTTATTGCGTTTACACTATTTGTACACAATGTAAATAAATAGTTACTACAAAAAATTAATTAAATCATTAAATCTTTATTTTATTGATATTTTCTAACATAAAATTTTATCATATATGTATATAACTATTTTTAGTAAAGTTTTATAATAAATGCGAGACATAAATAGTGCTCCAATCCGGCGACCAATTTGGCTTTGTTTCAACTAATCGACAGTCACGCGGATTTTCTACTTTATTTACACGTATATACAGCATCGATATCAGTATAATTAAACCAAATTTAGGAAAAAATAATCAGCTCAACTGAGCCGGCTAGTCGATTATCCCTAGTCAGTTTGGCATTGTTAATTCTATTCCCCTATTACTTCCACTACTTAAATAAGAAAGTTGCACAGGTGCCTATATTTGTTTCACATATTGACGATTAGTTCCATAACGATAAAAATCAATAAAAATCAATAAATTCCAAATCTAAAAATATTACGTACGTACCATGTACGTATGTTGAGAAATTCAAAAATAAATTTTATGATTTCTAAATAAAACGTGCATTAATGATCCCTGCATTAATGATCTCTTGGATAGTATACAGAGATTTTTACCTTGTGAGCAATAATCGGCCGTTTTAAGAATCAAAAAGGTTATAGATGAATGAAAAAAGATCTTATATGAATGCTATAAAATTTCCAAATTCGATAGAATTTTTCTCAGAATCAATCTTTATTTTTGTTACGGATCAAAAAGCCCGGTCATCGTGCAATTTCTTTGCCTAGAAATTACGTGCATATTATTTATCCTTTAATTCGTCCCCATATTTTCTAATTTGTTTCTAGAAAAATGCAACTACGTAATGAATTATTTTTCAGCAAAATTCGAGGTTTGAAATGTATCACAAAATCTTTATTAATGGCATATTAAAATAATTTACATATAGTTCAGAGGGTGTTCTTGGGTGTTCTTGATTTCGAGGAATATTTGTAAGTAAACTTTTGATATGTATGTAAAAAAAGACACTTTTTTTATGTGCATATTTGGTATAAAAAAATCATAACGATCTAAATATAGAATTTCTATCATAATATGAAAAATCAGAAAATTTTGATAATTAAAAACATAAAATATAACTTATGGATTTCTTATTGTTTTTATCTTATAATATATCGATGTTATTAAAAGAATATAGTTGACTCGGCAGATAGACGATCCCGCTCATACCACAACTCTTCGCAAAGTATATTTTCTAATACTTCACAGAGCGTGTGTTCTGGTTCTTCACAGAATGTCTGATCTGATGGTTGCGAGTCAGAATTTTCTTTAGTTTTTTCACTCATCGTCTTCTTTACCGAAGATTGAGAAGATTTGGTTTTCTTTGGGAAGTTTTCGGGCGTGAGCACAGTTGAAAAAATCTTGGATTTTTTCAAATTTTTTGTGTGTTTTGTGAAAGAGTTTAATTCACGACACGCATCGCGGTATATTTGTTTATCGGTTGCCGATTTATTTCTCCAATTTTTCGAGGCTAAGTGAGAGATCTCCTTAGCTTGTAGATTAAGACCGGAAGAGTGTAATGCTTTAACTAATAAATTTCGGTAGATCATAAAACTATTAAGAGCACAATAGCTTTTGGTTTCATTTCGATATTCTCTAATAAGTTGACTTATTAAATCTCTGGGATTCGATATGTCAAAATTTGCAATGCGTTGTCTTAATGAAACTCCAAACTCTTTTTCTGTTGACATTTTGTTTTATTAATTGGAGTTTGCTCAAATTTTTTTCTCTCAGGCTCCTTTTATAAAGTAGAAGAGTCCTATCTTCTATGAGTTCAAGAAATCACGTTGCTATTGTAACGGTTTCCAAACTCCAGTCATTCATTGTTTTCTCTGAAGTATCATTTGATCATCATGCATTTTAAGATTTTTACTATTAAGGACTTGAAATAATTGAAATGATCTTGATCTAACTTTGAGCAATGTTTTTAGTCATTCAAGTGAGATTGTGAGGTAGATAATGCATTTTCCAATTTGGAAAAGGAAAACAGAAACATTTATTGAACACGTTGAAGATTGTTAACGAATAGATTGTGAGAAATCAAAAAGTAAATTGTGCTTCATTATATAATTCCCAATTATATTAAACGGAATTTTATGAAATACATAATTACGCATTACATTTCAGAAGAACTGTTTGAACATGATGAAATTGTTAACGAATAGATTGTGAGAAATCAAAAAGTAAATTGTGCTTCATTATAAATTCCCAATTATATTAAACGGAATTTTATGAAATACGTAATTACGCATTACATTTCAAAAGAACTTTTTGTATATTTTTAAAGGACATAATATCATATACAGAAAAAGCCAATTTCAAGATTAAACTGCGCTTAATAGAACAAACAATTCAAGGAGACATTGTTTTAGAGTGCATAGGTCGGCTGCTTATATATTCTTCATTCCGTACAAGCGTGTGATTACTTGCAATCTAGGACTAATATTTTACCGTAAATTTGCGCTTTAACTGTATGTACATTCGAAAAATAACAAACCAACATAGAAAAATCTAAAATATGCGTTGGTAACATATGAGAGGTTTGACTGTATATTGTTCTAAATTAATTCTGAATCTGTGTATAATTTAGCTTATCATATTATAATAAATACCATTATTTGATCAAATAATGTGATTTTTGGCAACACAACTTTACAGGAAAATCAAATTTTGCTATAGCTCTTTAGTTAACAAAAGCATCATCCTTTGATAGTTTAGAACAAATTCCTCTCGAAGTAATAATTTACCCTACTTTTAATATATACACTTTCTCGTTATAATAAACTCTCGTTATAATAAAGACTAACTAATTTTTCTTTATAATAAACTGACGGTATATTAAATTTTCTCTGCACATTTTCATGCAACTGTGAATTTCGTTACACTTTTAACGAAAAATCTTATTATATGCACAAGAAAATAAGAATCTTATAATTTGAACGAAACCATCAAATTTCAGCTGAATTTGAGAAAAGAAATAAGATGGCTAAATTTTGCTTTATATGTAATTATAAAACACTTTGATTCTTACGTGAGATAAAAAATACGCGACGATTGATTATAAATAAAACACAGTCTTACATATTGATTCGCATACGTATAATGATCACACACTTTTGTCGTCGGATAAATCGATTACCAAATCCATTTCATCAATAACTTATCAGTAATGTTAGTATGCGATTGATTATAAATAAAGCACCTCTTTCCTTTCCCTCTCTTATCAAATTCTTACTGCGCCTCTTTAAGCCATCTTTTTATCACTTACACTCTGGCAGCATCAAGAAAAAAAGACCTACCGCCTAAACCCTATTGGAATGCTCGCGTTACAGCCTGGTCACAAAGGTATGTTTTGCTTGATTATTCTTTTCGTTTGTTTTAATAATTGCTAACTACTCTCTTCTTAGATTGTGGCTGCCGAGCAGAGTGACTCAATCTTTCGACGACCCCAAGTTCATCCCGGTACACGCAAGTGACAATCCACACGTGCCGATTGCAATAGTAAACGACAAGAAACGGACGAAGAACGAACAGGCACCGAACAACACAAAGTAGCGCAAGGTCGGCGATGCTGGCCCACGCACGAAAAAAGCAGAAGGTGGCGGGGTTAATGAGAAGCTTGAAGGTGCAGGTGTATCCAAATGCAATGCATAAGGACCTAATAAAGAGGTGGATAGGGTGTGCCAGGTAAAACAGTCATATAATTCTTTCTTTTATTACTTTGAAAACATTGTGCATCTTGCACTTTACAGGCTTGTATTATTTAGGCATTTCACAATAAAGATCATTTTGCACCTCGCCGGAAGAATTTAACCACTCATCCGCCTCTTTATCATGAGCATCACAAGAAGAGACACAACTGGCCGAACTTAGAAGGACGGATCAATAATGATTCCAAACTTATGTGGGATCAACATCAACAGCAATGGACATTCATTTGGGTTTATGAGAGCAAAGTAACCTCACACGAGAGCCAAGTGGAAGGTCTTCACATCTGTTCTTTAGATCCAGGTGTCCGCACATTTATGACTTGGTGAGTAATGGTCAAATCTTGACTTCATACCATTTGAAAAATAGCCATTTATTTTTTGGTATTCACCCACGCGCTGGTTACATTAGTGATGCTCAAAGACTTGTACGTCTTTATTTTAATCTCGATAACCTCATTTCCCGAACGACCTAAGCTTCTACTCAAAAATGGAATTCTATGCGCTGGCCCAAGCATGCATTCGACAACGTATTCGCAATCTCATTAACGAATGCCATCATAATATCGCATTGTGGCTCATACGCACCTTTGATGTAATTGTCATTCCGGCTTTTAATGGTGGTCACAGACAGTTTCGCCAAAGGCTGATAGCTTAATAAGGATGTTGTGATAGTTAATGAGGCATATATGAGCAAGACATGTAGCAATTGTGAGTGGATACATCAGAGGTTAGGAGGACGAAAGATATTTTGATGTGAAGGGTGCGGATTGGAGATAGAGATATCAATGGCGCCTGAGAGATCTTCCTTCGGGCTTTGTTGGATGGGACTATCCTATTATAGGATACAGGTTGGATGGATGATTGTAGACGGTTTGTCTATTAATGGCCAACGCTGTCTATCATTATCTGATTGAAGCCATCCGGGTAACCCAAAATAATCTACCACCTGGCCTGGGTGTGCTGATATATGCTGTGTAACAATAAAACATATTGACTCGGACCATCTAGTCGCAACAACTTGGCCAGATTTAAAAATTTTATATACAGTAAGTGTATCATCTGAATTTAAAGTTCATTTTTAAGTAGATAACAACCAGTCAACAAATGGAAAGGTTCTTATTCAAAAGATATTTTTTGTTTTAATAAAAGTTTAATTTTGTATATAAATATGCCGCGACTAGATATGGTCCAAGCCAATAGGACATGTTGAATTTTTTCCGATCTGAATTCTAAATTGTTTATCAATAGTTTAACGTTAATACGTATCGATATGTTTTGTTATTATGCATTTAATTACATGTAATTGATTTGATACACTCGGTGGAATAAAGTCACAGGACACATTTTTTCGCGAAATAATAGTGGAAAAACTAATGTAAAAACTTGTATTAGTGTTCTAAATACATAAATTTGAAATGTTCTGTAGCATGTTATACTAAAATTTCAAATTTTTATAATCGCTCTTCAAAAAGGTATTAAAGTATTATATTCTAAAATACTTTTTTTCTGTGCAAAAGTATTTTCACTATAACCGTATTAATTATAATTAGTATAACATGTTTCAGAATATGCGATATTTATCCAATTATAACATCGAAGCATTATTAAAAGTTGTTGAACTATAATATTTTAATGTTTATTAGATATAATTTTTTAAAGAGTGATTGAAAAAACTTGAAGCTTTAACATTGCATATTTCAGAATATTTTGAATCTATAAACATAGAACATCTATATGAGTTTTTTTTATTAGTTACTGCGTTATTGGATTACTAATTATGTCCAGATCATTTATCTATACATTTGTATTTTAGTTATAACTTTTAAGACCGTGATCAAAAAAACTTGAAATTTAGTATAACATACTTCAAAACATTTTAAAACTACAAGCTTAAAATATAAAAGCATAATTTTTCATTAATATTTGCACTATCGAAAAAGTTGTAGTGATATACTTTTTCGTGCAAATTATTGGTTTTTTTGAAATATCATATGCTAGTATATTTTAACTATAACTTTTTAGTGGATGATTAAACAAGTTTTTCATTAGTTTTCCCACTATTATTTCGCGAAAAAGTGTCCGGTGACTTTATTCCACCGAGTGTATCTATATGACTTACTATGTTAATTTCAACAGGATTTATTCGCCGACATTATATTTCGCTCACAGACCCGATTTTAAAAGGGCATGGGTATTTGGTTGAAGATTTGGACACAGTTCCAATCTCTAATAAAATCAAAATACTTGGGCTTTTAAACTTTTCCCTGGATATTATATGTATACGTGTATCTGTGATATATAAGACTTTATAAGATCCAGTACTAGAAGCAGTGCACTACAGTACTTTTCAAAATGATATCAAGGTTTATAAGAGTTTGTTGCCAAAGTTTGTTTAAAAGGACATAGAAATAGCAATTTTTGGTAGTATTTGAAGAAATATGATGGGTTTTTGAGAATAAACTTTAGTTCGATATTTCATAACTGTTTTTTTTTACATAAAAAATAATTTTTTTATATATCTCAATAATAACATTTCTAAAGATATTTTGATAAATTGCAAGATATAAGATGATTCTTCTGATATAAAAGCAAAATGTGCTCAATGTTCGTAGTACAGTTGTTAACAACATTATGGGACCGGGCTACGTATTTTGTTGATGCGGATAACTACAGGTTTAGGGTTGATATTTAATTTATTGTCATTTGAAATCTGTTCTGCAACCAATGTTACTGACAACGGGTTTTGATGGCAACAGGTCAGACTGTACTCGATAATTTTTTTGAAACATCAATCGAAGAAAACTGTAATTCCTTTTGCTCTGAGTGAATAATATCAACTTTGGCTTATCAAAGCACATAAATAGAAAAGGTTAGTTTCAAATGTAAAAAAAATCAATGGATCAGTCCAGAATTCATGTATTGCCACTTAGAACAGTATACTTTTATTATTATTCGTCCATACTCAGAGGTACACGTAAATTACTGATATACATGTATATTCTTATTACAGTCAAGGTCAAAGTTGTCCGGGGGGGTTATTAATAGAAGGTTTGAAAAATCCGGTTTATCGAAGTTTACGTATTTAGTGAATTCAAGGATTTACTATAACTGTCCCTGGAATAAACTTCGGTTTAACGAGGTTCAGCTTATCGAGGTTTACCTGCAGTTATATAATAAAACTTAAAAAGGTTAGAGAGTCCGAAATTCAAGTTAGATAACTGCAATCTATTCTTTGCTAAAGTCAGAAACAGTTTAACTGTCATTAGATTATTTTTTACTCATTAACAATCAATTTCCTCTCTTTTTGCATCATTTCCGAGTTGATTACTATATTCATTAGAAAAAGATAAAGTAACTTAACCACAATTCTCTTCAGTGTTTTTGATTATTAAATTTGCCTTTTCATCGTTCATTAAAGAATGCCGATACATAAAAATGCTTTCATTCAATGCGTTGCTGAATCTAAATAGAACAGTTATGCCGATGCTTGTACGGATTTACATAAAGCTTGTGCAACAAAACATAGCGATAGATAAATAAAGGTTAACGTTAAGCATTGTTCTTACTTTCATATTGTCGCTGTTTTTTGCACAACGTACATATATTTAGTTAACTAAAAGTGGTTATATCGATATTGTATTATAATATTTAACGATGATTGGCTTCAACAACGCAACATCTGATTAATCGATATCGATATACATGTACTGTATTAGCATAATTATCAATTCTAGAACTTTCAACAAATTTGTTCATGTGACTCGAAATGCTTTTAATAAAGTAAAATTATACGTAGAATAAATACAAAAAAAATTACAAATTCTATGTGCAAGTTAGTAAAAATGATGCTTACACGCCAAGATCATCCACACAAACTACCCAATCTTTTATCGTATCTTTTGTAGGAGCCAATGCAAAAGCTTTTAATTCTTCATAAGTGATTGGAGTATAAGGCAAAGGCGAGGGAATAAATTTTGATAATTGCATCCGATTCTGCGTTAATTCAGAATCCATTGTTTAATATTTTCAAGTTTCGAAGCGAAGCGTGTTGTTGATATGGTGGTTCTTCATATATCTCATCTTCTCTTGTCATTTTTTTGAGCATTCATACTCTTTGGAAACTTGAGGAATTCTGACTTTTTCGGGAAGAAATTCTTCTCTAAAAAGCTTTGTTACCACACCACGATAATAATTTATATGTGTTAGATAATCTTTGTCGTGTTTAATTTCGTCGTCATCGCGTATTGATCGATTATTAAGTAGATCGAAATCGTCGCATTCATCGAGAAAAATTTTGCAGTATTCGCATATTATGTGTTCTGGTTGATGTTCAAGTGTAATTTGTAGAGTGAATCTGCTAGTTGAAATAATGGATGTGTTGTTATCTCGTCATTTTGTTCAAATACCATCTTGATCGAGTTTTTGGTATCATAGAAGGCTTTTTCATTAATTTTTGTAAAGTCATAAGACGCGAACTCTTTATATTAAAGAATTTAATACAATCGGAAAGAAATGATCACCCGAATTCCATGTTTTTGTGCATCCTTGAGTTCAATTACTATATGATGCGAGTTTAGCAAATTTTATTTATTTGCTATTGATGATAATGCCAAAATTTCATTCATTCCATCTACAGAAGAATGCAATAGAACAATACATCTCGATATATGTATTGCAGTATTGTGTATGTATGACAAACTTATTCGTAATAATGAAAATTATAAATGAATGGTCAAGTTTATTAGCAATAATAAGAATTAGGGCGTGACTGATATAATACATGTATTAGCTAATAGCCGTTTACTCCTCTCCTTCTCCTTCCCGAGATCTACATGATCTATAAACCTGAGATTTCACCAATACCAGTTACGAACATCTCTTACCAACATCCAAAAACATCAAAGATTGCCAACAATATTATGTGAATGAAAACGAGAAAACCGATCCAGCCAAATACTTGTACATGTATTAAATTACATAACGATAAGGTAATGGTAGCGGTAGTGCAAAATCAATTTATATTAGATACATGTATTCTTATAATTAGATAACATATTTTAAAAACAATAATATTAAAGTCATTACATAAGTCTCGCAAAGTCAAATACAAGGTTATCAAGTTGCTATTGATAGAAATAATACTAAAAAGATTTTATGAATAAGATTAAAATCAAATTTTATCTTTCACCTTAGAATGGAATTAAATTTTCTACAAAGAATGTAAATAATTATTACGAATTTCACGTCTCATTAATTTCGAAGCTGTAAATTCAAACCTTATTAAAATTCCCAAAAATTCTGTAATGTCTTCTGTAAAGCGTATCAATTTATTTACTCATGAGGGTAGATTTTTTTATGATAATTAAAAAAATTTATTTGATTAATCATAAAGGGCAGATTATTTATTTTACTCACATGTGTAATGAATTTTTAACATGTTAATGTTAAAAATGATACACGATGAGTCAATACAAAGATGAAACTTTTTATATTCACCGAAAATCAAGATGGAATTTTATTTTGCGTGCTTTGCTTAAAAAATAATACGTAGTATGCAGCCTAAGAAAATTGAAAATTTTGATTCATATTTAGAAAGAGCCAACATGTTTTCGAGAGGAAGCTTAATTGTAATATGTTCTACTATGCAGATAAAAAGGGTTGAAATTTGATGCACAACAAATAACGAAATATTATAAGAAAACCATTTTCGCAAAAAAGACCAGTAAAAAAAATAATATATGAAAAAAGCCAGTTCCAAAAAGTTCAAAGATAAATCTTGAACAGAACGAATTAAAAAACAAGATTAATTTGTATTAATACACGAACAGATAAAAACGACAAGAGCTCTTGAAAGTAGAATTTAGAATTTAGAACTTCGAATTTTTACTAATCGACGAAATTACAAATTATAGTAACTAATGTCCTTAATCAGCGCTGATTTTTACGAATTTTCGAAAAGATAATAGGAAGGAGATTGTTTTCATTCATGCAATTTTCGTGATACCGTGGTGTGGGAACTCCTACAACTGTGGGCATTAGTCGTATTTGGCAGTAGTTCCTTTATTGCATTTCTCACCACGGGAGAACGGGCATTTTTTTTAGTGGTGCAACGAATAGCATATATAAAGATCAAGGCATTGATCGAGTTTAACTTTACATAAGCATTCCTTTTTTAATGAGCAAATATTTTTCAGTATTGAGTTAAAAAAAAAAGCTTCTGGCCCGTTCTATCGTTTTTTGATTGGAAATTGGTGCTCTTATAAATAGAGAAGAAGCACGAGGCCTCGTGCTAAGTATCATAAAATAGACAATTGATTAATTTCTAGACACTCGGGAACTTGCGCGTGATAAGATTGTCACGCATCATTGTTCATATGCAATGTCTATTATGTCATGTAGACATTGGTATACCCTCTATAATATGTACACCAGGCCATTGAAATGTAATCATTTACCGTTTTCAATTAAATTACCCTTTTGTCCTTTTAACCAAGAGTTGATATTGAATTCTAAATCATATTTTTTTGATCACGAGAAAAAAAACAAAAATATCAAAATAAAATTTGTCTGAATCATAGTCGGAACTTCGAAAACAATGGGTGGGAATCATTAAAGCACGATTTATTGAATAAATGGTTCAAAATTATTGTATGCTTGGCTGAGGATGCCGAGTAAACTATTGTGGAAGATGCATATTGATTGACAATCCTAGGATTTTATCGATATGGTTCTCGTAAAATGAAGGATCAGATATAGCCGAAATAAGCAACATAATGAATCGAGGAATTTGTCACATGCCATTATAATAGTTTTGACATTTGATGTATTTACAATTTCATTTCACAGAAAGAGAAAGTTTATGCAATCGCATCAAGTAAAGTACAGTACCTCCAAGGTCATGAATCTTCTTGTGAATCATCAGTATCATCGGTTCATATACACACAAAATATTTGCTAATCCAAATTTTAATGCACTATGTATTGCTCGGTTTGTCATCATGAAACGAAAATAAATTCTTTATTTAAATTCCCATCATTTTGTATTGATATTGCTTTTTAAAAAATGAGAAATATAGTAATCAACTTAGCGCGCGTGGTTTTCGCAAATACTGCGCATGTATAGATGATACGCTTGCCTAACGTATAAACTATCTTGATTAGGAATTCTCAAATCTATTTGTAGATCCATGTGCATTATTGCGAGTAAAAATCTCGAGATAATTCTAATAGCGATAGCGTACCTACAAAGCTTTTGGGACAATTTCGATAGCTCATTATTAATAATTTTCTCTATTTATTCCTTAGCAACTTAACGAACGGATAATAGAAATTTTACCTCGAAAAATTAGGCAGACAAGTTGGAACTTTCTATGTTTGCGAGCAAATTATCAATTAACCTGCTTACATGTACGTATATCGATGTGCTGTATATATGCACATGGTGTCACTAAATTTTTCTATTGGTGATTTCATATGTCAAATAATTTTGATTTAACACAGAAACGTGTAAGTGCATTATTCAAAGAAAAACGTAGTTATAATAATTGCTTTCACACACCATCTTCAGTGCATCTAGAGAACTTACGAGTGTGTCAATTTACTTTCAACGCATATGACTGCATGTCCAAGCAATGCTTGCTGCGAGCTTATTCTGGTGTCGAAACTTTGATGGGTTCTAAAAGAAAACGTTTACCGGTATTGATATACACACATACAATATAATTGGATATTTATTATTCCATTTAGGTTTTAGAATCAATTTACCATTACGTTACTTCTCAGTCAAAATGCAAAAGAGGAAATTATCATGACCAACACATTTCTGATCTGCCGTGTCAAAATACATTAATCAAAGTAAAAATAGAAATCAATTTTTTCTTGAATACTTTTTACAATATTATATTTTTTTATTATAAGTATAACTTCATTTCTTAAATATCTAAATTTAAATTGGACACGTGAGTAACGTAAGATATATCGATATAAGTTGAAATCACAAACTTCAATGACACGCGCATTCAGATACGTATATCATAAGCTTGCATCATGCAATTACATGTACGTACTTGATTGATTGAAAACTTTTCTATACGTAGTGATAGCAAAACCTGCGACTTAAAGCACTTATAGATCGTACGTATAATCACTATGAACCAGAAAAGTAGTTGATAACAAACTTGATGAAACACGAACGACAATAATCAGTTTGATTTTTATATTATTCAAAGATTACTTAAAAAGGGAGTTAACCAGTTGATGACGCAGTGTGTGCAATATCTTATCTGATTTCATGACAGTAACGTTTATTTGAATTCTTTATAAAATGCCTAATATTCCTAATGAATAACTTTAGACAAGAATAGTCTCGAAATCAATTATACAAACTCGTTTAGGTTTGTAAACGCTCTACGATTATATCCTGACAATAGCATCAAAAAAAATGATGGATCATCAATTGTTCTTACTTACTGCATAATTAAAAGGTGCAATAGAGGAACCGATGGGAAATAGTTCGTCGAGTTTCAGTACCTTTCTTTTAAACTAAAACATAAATTGATGCTATATAACGAATCAAAGTACAGTATTGTCATAATAATAAATTAGGGGAATACGTCAGGAATATACAAATAAAACATAAAAAAGGTTCTCAGTTCTTTTCTGTTTATTTTGCGATTCGGCTTCATCTTTTCTCTAGTTCTGTTCAATCGCTTATAAAAAAATTTACAATTTTTTTTTTACTTACTACGGAATCAAAATTTCTGATTCTTTTTCATATTTATATGTACAATATTTTTTATTTATGCTTTTTGTGTATATATGAGTAAAGAATTTAATGTGTGAAATTTAGTCAGTCAGTCATTCAGTCAGTTAATGCATATTTAATATTCGATCTTTTTTATTTCGTCACAAATCACCGTTAACTATTCGAGTAAATATCCTTTAGTTTTTTTTTTTCGTTTCTCTCAAACATTGAAATGTACGATGATTATCATCACCCGTCTCAATAAACCCTGGCGCTTTTACTGTTCTCTCTTTTGTGATAAAAATATATCTTTGTATTTAATAAAGATTGAAAAAAATCAAATTTGCCTTGATCGATAAACTTGACGTATTTATTGAATCTAACGCTGACACATCACACTACATAATCTAATACGTTTCAAAAAAAGGGTTATGTACATAATTGTGTTACAGATACCGATACATTATCGTATGGAAAATGGTTATCGTTATCGTTATAGATCATCTATCCAAAACTCGTGATACCAATAACGATAAGTGTAGAGCGAAACGTAACATCTTTAGGGGGCCTGACGTTACCGTTACGTTTCAATAATAACCGCGTCTGAGACGACAGTATATACCTCGCCTCACAAATTCAAAATGCATATATGCAAAGTTCTTTATCATTCGGCACTCAAGAAATCTGTGCCAGGTTTTGTCGATCATAGACCAGTAACCAATAAGAATGCGTAATTGTTTGATCAGCATCTAAGAATGCAGAAATTTTTGATCAGACCGGCAAAACAAATCCGACACAAGAAAAGAAAAAATACGAGAACTGCGAAAAATACGAGAAACAAGTGCCTATATAGCTTGGAGTACTAATTAAAAACGTTGAAGAGACAATTTATATATAACCTATATCTCAGCTTTAACTCTAACCCTAATTCTAAAACCAACCTTTTAATGTTAATTAATATTACAGTAGAGTTTTCCGAGATCAACAAAACCTGGCACAGATTTCTTGAGTGAACTTGAATGACTTTAGAATACTAATCATCAATTACACACAAAATCTTTTAGGAAAGATTATGAACAATGTTTCTTGAGTGAATTTTAGAACCTAAATTCATTGAACGAGAGTTGTACTTGAATTCCCAGCTCTTTTGATGGACATTTATAGAGAAGAAAGTTTGACTGTGAATATTACATTAATTGGCGATCCACGAATTAAGGCTCCTAACGAGCCGAGCTACGAGCCCTCGAGCCAAAATTTTATATGAAATTTAATATATGGGTTTAATTAAATTATATGTGTCATATGCAAGCCAACGAGTCGTGCTTTCGGAATCCTACCACGAATGAAGGAGAATTAAACCTAAATTTGCATTTCCGATGAAGTAAAGTCTCTCAAGTTTTAACCAAATGGCTTGAAAAATTTTATTAAAAAAACTTGGAGATTTAAGCTTTTTATTTCACTTGGTCAATATAAATTTTATAAGTATAAAAATACAAATTAATTTTTCAAATAACGTTAATTAGTCAAATTCTTGATCAAAGACATTGTAAAACTCAAAATCAATATACATATAATTTGTATATTAATACAGTTTAAATTATTAAATCTTAAAAAACTTTTGATTTCAATTTTGTAAACAAAAACTGTATGAGTTTAGTATTTATCTTTTTTTCTTTATTACTTTTCTAATTCTCTTTGATATTAAATTAATTAGCTTTTTATAATAATCAATTTTAATGCTTTTTCAAGCTATTTATAACTTTTTTCATAAATAATTTCTATTTAAAAGTAAACCAAAAAGATTATATATATATATTAATATAATACAAATCAAATAGTTATTAAGCAAAATAATTTTATTATTATTAATTATTGTCTTGCTTTTGAATATATATTTATAATTATCATCTTGCTAAAAAAAATAAACTTATTATCTTTTAATATTTTCTTCTAAATTATATTTAAAAGTTATATTAATATAAATATTAGTATTTATTTTATTATTAATTTTCAGAGTTTGTTATCTTTACTAATAGTTAAACAATTTCAAATTATAATAAAATCATAATTATATTTTATAATTAAAATTATATAATAATCTTTTAGTTATTTATCAAGCTTTTTTAATATTATTTTTTTATTTATTTAATTCAAATATTGGAACTTGTTTTTATTAAATCAAATTATTTTTTGTAATTTATTAAGTATTTAATTTCAGTATTTTTTATTTATATTAATTGATAATTTTTATATTACTTTAAGTAAAATTTTTTTAATTTTAAAGTTTATATTAAATTTAAATAGTATTAAAGTATTTTTTTATTAAAATTAATTAAATAATATTTTTTTATAATAATTTAAAAACAATTAAATTTTGATTTATTTTTAATATTTTTTTATTTTAGCAAATATTTAAATTGAAACTAACTTTATTTTTCAAATAATATTATTTTTAGTATTATTTTTGTTAAAATATATATAGTAATAATTAAAAATAATATAATTATATCAAAATTTATTAATTCAATATAGAAAAATATAAATTTTTCTCTTTATATAAAAGTTTTTAATTTTACTAATTTATTTTTTTCAGATTATAAATAAAAAATAATTAACTTTATATATAATTAGAACAACTTAATCTAAAAATTTGAAGAAAATATATATTAATATATATAATATTATTTTTATTTTATATTAATATTACATATTTTAATATATATTTTTTCAGATTTTTTAGATTTAATTTAATAAATCTATTTTAATTATATATAAACTTAATTATTTTTTAAAAAAATTACATGTTAAAATATATGATATTATCTTATTTTAATATAAAAAATATTAATTAATAAAATTAAAAAATTTTATATAAAAAGAAAAAGCCATATTTTACTATATTTAATTAATAAATTTTAATATTATTATATTATTTTTATATAATAAATTTAATATTAATACTTTTTAATATCTTGTCAAATAGATTAAATATGAAATATAAATTACATTATTAATTTATTAGATATATATTTAATTACTTTTATTAATATTTATATTATTATTTATATTTTATATATCTAATTAAGTACAGCATAACTTGAAGATATATCATCTTTAAGATTAATAATTTAGAATTAATCACTCTTTATTTATTAATTTATTTGTAATTTATAAAACATTATTAAATATGAATATAAAGATAATCTTCTAAATTATTTTTGAAAAAAATAGTATTTCAGCAAATAATTCAGTTTTGTTATATTGCTTATATTAATGAATACTTAAAAATTATTTAGAATTGCTTGATTTAATTTGTAGAATTCAAATAATTTCAGAAAACAATTTCAGCTACCAATAAAATAAGTTAAAATAATTTTAGATTTAATTTCAACAAGTTAATTTTAGCAAATTATTTATTAAATAATATTATTTTGATAATTATTCTTATATAAACAAGAGTTGGATAAGAAAATTAAACAATTATAAAAATAATATAAAAATAATATCTAAGTTTTATATTAATTTCTACTAAAATTATTATAGTTTGAAAGGAAAAAGATACAAGATAATAAAGTTTTAATTAAATATAGTTTTTTAATTTATTATATTAACTAATTAATTTATAAATTATTTAATTAAAGTGCTTATTAAAATAAATAAACTAACTCTCTGTACTAGTATAAATATGTTTTAGAGCTAACAAAACAAAAATAATAAAGAGTTTTTTATTTCATTCTTCTTAGAAGAAAGAAATTATGATATTTTTGATTGAGATATTCAAATAATTTAATTATAACAAAAATATTAAAAGACTAGTCTATAATAAAATATTAATTTAATAATTCAATATTAATATTTTGATCAACTCAATATAGCTCAAAGCTACTTGTTTACAAGTTTTAAAATATATAATTAAATGGAGAAGATGAATTATTTAAGTATTAAAAAATATTTGTTTTATTATATTATTTATTTTCAGATTCTAATATATTGAGTTAGATACAATTACAATTTATATTTATATATTTTTTGCAAAATACAAATATGATATTAAAAATAAAAAAGGAATATAAAAAATAATTACATTAACTAAAAATAGAATTCCAATTTATTAAATATGAAAAATTGAAAAAAAGTATAAATTTTGAGAATTTTGATTGGTTAAATTATATTTATTTGGAATAAATAAGTATAAAAAGTAAGTATAAATATAAAAAAATATAAAAAATATAAAAAATATAAAAAGTATAAGAATATAAATATATAAAAATATAAAAAATCTAAAATATATAAAAATATAGTAAAAAAATAAAAGTATACAAATATAATAATTAATAATATTTAATATAATTATAAAATATTTTAAGTTTTTTATATAATTTTCATAATTTTATTAAATATTATAAATTATAAAATTAATAATTTTTATAATATAATTGTAATAGTATTAATATATTTATAAAAATAAAAATTTTACTGTATTTTTTTATGAATAAATGTTTGTATAGCCATAGACTATACAAATATTTATTGTAGCCGTTCTAGAATAACCAATCAAATTATGTCAGTTCCTAATCACATGATGTGGTGTAATCTGATTGGTCAAACCACACATGTGATCAGGAACTGAGCAGCACAGATTATACTTTCGCGTATCAGCTTATCCAAATAAGTCAAATAAGTGATATGTCACATTTTTCTCTTTAACGCAGCTATGTTTCTATTGTCATTTTCTTAGTCATTTACTGTCATTTTCGTAGAATACCGCATCAGAAGCTATTAATTTTACCTGACAGCAAGTACCAGTGGAGGATTAATCAGCTTTTTTAGTCTCAGGTAAAGGCAACAACAGCATCTGGTTTTCAATCTCCTTAAAAACACCTATATCACTCAATAATCTGAATAAAGTGCTTTTTTTGTTCTTCCGTGTAAATTAAAACCACCTCTCCACCATCTTCCATAGTGTTTTTGGCTTCGTCAATTCCTTTAATCCCACCGCGTCGCGTAATATTTATGTCTGAGATAGTGTGTTATTAATGCTCTTTTATTTCTATTTATCGTTATTTTTTAAACTCTTCGACTGGTGTAAACTGCCTTTGAGTGCTGCTTCCCCACCTTCTTCCATGGTGTTTTTGGCTTCGTCAATTACTTTAATACCTCCGGGTCGCGTAATATTTATATCTGAGGTAATGCTCTTTTATTTCTATTTATCGTTATTATTTTAAACTCTTCGACTGGTGTAAACTGCTTTTGAGTGGATTTATTGTTTTTTGTTCAGATTCGTAGGAATGCTTTTGTCATATCAAGTTTACTTAAGTTCTGCCTTTCTAGTCTAAGACACTCATAAATTTCATCTGTAGTAGAAAGTATTTAGCATGCAATTTAATTCAAACACATCCTCGCCAATAACATCCGATCAGCTGGCCAACATATCTCAAACACCGACACCAACAACATCCGATCAGCTGGCTAGCACATCCCAATCTCTTTTCCCGCCAAGTCAAACACCAGCAACCACAACATCAGTTAGACACCGGTACTCATCAGCTCAGCTGGTCAATACATCCCAATTCCTTTTCCCGCCAAGTCAAACACCAGCAATCACAACATCAGTTTTCCCACCAAGTCAAACACCAGCAACCGCAACATCAGTTTCCCTATCAGGTCAAATACCAGTTAAACACTGGTACTCATCAGATCAGCTGGTCAATACATCTCAATCCCTTTTCCCGCCAAGTCAAACACCAGCAACCACAACATCAGTTTTCCCACCAAGTCAAACACCAGCAACGGCAACATCAGTTTCCCTATCAGGTCAAACACCAGTTAAATACTGATACTCCCAATCCCTTTTCCCGCCAAGTCAAACACCAGCAACCACAACATCAGTTTTCCCATTAAGTCAAACACCAGCAACCACAACATCAATTTTTTCACCAAGTCAAACACCAGCAACCGCAACATCAGTTTCCCTGTCAAGTCAAATACCAGTACTCACAACATCAGATCAGCTGGCCAACACATTCCAATCTCTTTCCCCGCTAATTCAAACACCAGCATTCAGCATGCAATTTGACTCATGACAGCAAATCGATAGATATCTCAATGCCTATTGCAATTCACAAAATTTTTCTAAAATTATCTATGGAGCAGAATATGATAATGGAATACATAGACATTGTCAGTATCGGTGTGAATATCAAGGTCAATATCGAGGCAGAAAAAAGACAATTGCCGAGGAACAACGCAATACACGAACCAAACGTAGTGGCTGTCCTAAAAAAAATGATATTCTCAGTATTACTTCTGTCTTCTTGGAACATGGAAATCATTCTCGAGATCCGCTTACCAATAAATTTGCTATTTCACATCGAACATTAACTGAACCAATGTTGGAAGATATCAAATTTTGGACTACTAACGGAGATATCAGCATGCGTACTCAGCAGCAACTACTTTTTGCAAAATATGAAAATGTATTTTTTCTACCTCAAGACTTGACAAACGCTATTCAGAAGTTTAAAAAAGAACGACAAATTGAAAATGAAGCCGCTACTCTGATCAACCATCTTCTTGAATGCAAAGCTGAGGATATAAGGTGGATTGTAAAATGGCGTGTTGATTCAGCGACTAATTCCTTGGTATCGTTATTTTGGATGACACCAGAACAATATGATCTTTATGTTAAATACCGAGATGTTATACAATATGACAATACTTACTCTACTAATCAGTTTAAAATGGCACTTGGACTTTTTGTAATCGTCGACAATAACAACCGATCTCATCTTGTCAGACAAACGTTAATGAATGATGAGACATTAGAAAGCTTTGAATGGGTCTTCACCACTCTTCTTGAAGCAGTAAATTTTCCTCCCTCAGTCATCATAACAGACAACGATCTTGCCAGTGACACTGCAATTGCAAATATAATGCCAGGCACATATCATATCCATTGTATCTATCACATTGGGCAAAATCTCTTGAAGAATCTAAAAGCCAGACTGGGGTCGCAATATAATGAATTTTCTAATGCTTGGTACCAAATGAGAAATGCGCCATCTCAAGCTGAATTTGATTGTCTTTGGGATTCTCTCCTCGAACAATATCCTGATTCAGTTTCATATCTTAATCGAGCACTCGGATCTCAGAAACAAAGATGAGCACTTTCTTACATATCACGTATTTTTACAGCTGGAATGCAATCTACACAAAGAGTAGAAGGACAAAATGCGATAATCAAAAACACAGTCAATAGTCACACCTCAATTCTAGAACTGGCCAAAAAACTCGATGACCAATTTAAAAATACATCTACTCTTATTCAATATCGAAATTGGGCACATTCAACAATTGGCTCAACACTTACACATGCAAGCCAAGACTTTTCACCCATAATTGATAAATGGATTAGTGATTATTTGACACCTACTGCTCTCTCTATGCAATGACAAGAAATAGCTCAAGCTTTATGGTATACTCCTCAACTCGTTAATAAAGATCACATTCTTGAAATCGAACAAGAAGTTGAACAATTTGGCGTTGGTTTTGTG